CCCAAGACAGCAGAACATTGAATGAAGCTCCTACCCTTTTCTCCCCAAATTTTTTCATGTGTTTTTACTTTAGGTATAAGCAGGGCTTGTTTGTTTGCAAAAACATCAGGGATTACTGCGAAGCCAGTGATTTAAATCAACCTAGATAATATAAAATTGAAACCAATTTTGCAAAGAGACTATAAAGAGGTGTTTTGTATTGAGTCCTTGAAAACAAAACAAAAAAATTACCTTTGATAATCAAATTCTAACTTCATCTTCAAACTGAAAAATAAGAAACCTGTAGCTTGCTAAAATGAGATGACTTCTGCAAAGAAAGTTTTGTACCTACCCTAGTACTAGCTGGCTACTATAACAAGAAAAAAAGTAAAAGTTTCTTTCAAGTTCTGGCTATTCTATGCATGGAACAACCAGGTAACTCGCAGAACCATCTTCCACATGTTCTAAACAAAGAAGAGTGTTCCCAATTCTCACAATTTTATGAGAGTCTCTTACTTAAAATGCCAGTAAATTGCTAACAGTTCCACCAGCATCTCTTTACTTAATTCAGAATTAGCACGTTTCCAGACCTCAAGGAGAGAGAATTCAGCACAAAGACTCAAAAGACTACTTGGGACTCACTTTTAAAACTGTTATGGTAGGAAAGAGCAAGACTGTTTTTGAAAGCTACATTCCTTACTCCCAATAAGTAGCTCTTGATTGCCAACAAAATCAATATAATCTCATTCTCTACTTAAGCCCAACCTCAAAATTAATTTATGTACTACTCCAATTCTAAAATGTCAAACGAGAATTCCAGTTAGCCCTTGCTGAACCAGATATCAAATAATGTAACTGAACCATGCAGATTATCCCAACCCCAACTTGCCATAGTAATTCAAAGAGACAAGGCATGGGAAACAGTTACTTGAGATATTTGAACACGAAACTATTCAAACATATTTCTGTGTGCGTGGGGCGGGGTGGAGGGAGCTGCAGTGGCATAGCTGTTTCAAGTGTTTCATGAAAATAAAGCTTAATTTCTTTCAAAATACATAACAAAAGTGAGCTCATTGTTTTCATTATATTATTTCCTTTCTTCAAATAGATAAATAATGAAATTTTTAGTTAAATAAATCAATGCAGAGTGATGCTGATTACTGAACTTCTCAAAAGCTTTAGCAATCCTCACACATTTACTAGACATTAAAACCAAAATAAACCAGATAATGTGATAGACTGGCGAGTTAAATAAGCCACAGACACATACTACTCTCACTTCGCAAATGGTAGATATTTTTAAGACTTTTAAAAGAAGTTTATAATGGAGTGAATTTCTTGCCACGAAATTATCCTAGGATAACAGCTTCAACAAAGAAGAACTTGCCATCAGGTAGTGAAATTCCTGAGATGGGTCTGTATCCTGTAGCAAAAGTGTGTAAGTTAGTGAAAATGATAAACACTTTACCCCGGCGTCAAAGAAATAACATCTCTGTAGCTCGGGACATCTTTTTGATGAATGTGAAACAGCTGGAATAAATATATCAAGGGTAACAATTGTGCTCCCTTGGTACATCCAGCTGCTGCAAAAATAAACCCAGGGGGAAAAAGCCGAAGAGTAAAAAAAACCCAACAATATAAAAACCTCCTACACCATACAATCCCACTGTTTCTGTAGAAGTTCTTTTAAAGTACAGGACTCTCTGCAAATGCTGGTTGAAGATGAATGTATAGATTAATTTGTTAAAAGCAAAACCAGTTTATAAAATGCTTTAAAAACAAATCAAGGAAGGGCTGTTCTACTTAACAGCAATATTTTTATCTTTATTGGTTTTTTTTTCCAGACTCGAGGAACATGCACACCTGCTAGTGACAAAGTTATTTTAAAAATAAACAGAGGCTCATAATAATCCTGTTAATACTTTATTAGTGTAATTTTTTAGCTTTCTATCGGACAGAACATAAATGCAAACTCCAAAAAAAATTCAGAGTCCTCTGCCATTCAGTAGAAGTGACCATGGCAGCCTGCTTCATGTTCATTCTTTGTTATGGAAACAAGAGGAGGGGAAGGGAGGGGAAAAAGCATCAATAGAACAATTAGGCACACAGCTGACACTTACTGTACAATGATATGCATAAGTAATTTATAACAGCTATATTAATGAGATGTGCTCTTCAGATTTTTTTCCCTTGTTAATATATGAGCTTTGCTCAGATGAGCAAGGATCATTGAGAACAAGGGAGTTAACAAAGGAGTAACAAATAAGACTTTTAAAACAAGTCCTTAAATAAACTGACACGAGAACAGAATGCAAAATTGTTCAGCTGAGAAGACATTTTTAACCTAGACTTCAAAACATTAAAAATTCATTTATTTTACAGTTATTCAAATACACATGCATTAAATGAAAATATTGCACAAAATTAAAATTTAGATTGTGGAATTCATGTACTTTTTTTTGGTACACATTCTGGTAGCACTTAAAATCTACTGTTTAGTTCTAGCAAACACCAGCAGCACAAGCTTGAGGATGAAACAAATGAAAAATCCAATTGCTTGTTTTCTCTTAAAAATAATTAAGGCTAAAACAAGTGCATTTGTTGACAATGGCACAATTTTCAGTGGCCAGTCACAGCACTCAAAGGCCAGAAGATACACCCAGACACTTAAGTGCTGTATGTTAACATTCAGTTTTGGAAACTTCTAGGGTAATAGGCTGCTGCATGGGTTGACAGGGCAGGTATTTTAAATTGTCAACAAGGAAGCCATTTAAATAAACATATATACAAAATCTTTTTAACCAAAGTATTAATTTCTGATGATTCCTGCCAGCCAATAGGCACCATTGAATTAGGAAGCCACATTCTGTAATTAAATACAGAAGACAAAACTTCAATACATATATACATATGCACACGTGTATATAAATGTGTGTATAGGTATATATATGTAATAAATTCACTAAGTAAAAGGACTAATAAACATGGTGTATTATGTTCAGTTCACATTCCTAGAGATATTATTTTTGTACAGAAATGTACCAGATAATTTAAAAAAAAAAAGAATCCCGAATTTGCACATGATCACTATTCTGTTGAAATTTATCATGGTTACCTACAGATAGATAAAAAGTTCCACAGATTTGACAAAATAGTATTTGAACTTCCCACTGTCATACTGCATAACAAATTCAGTGATTTAAAAGACATGAATTAGATCTGGTAGGATCAATGATATATTTACTATATCACCAAGAACAATTGCTAAACGATCTTTCATCAGTGAGATGTCAGGTATGTTTAAACACCCTGACATCAGAGAAAGATATAGGTATGTAAACAATAGGAGCTGGCTATGTTGATTACTTCACACAGAACTCAAGAATTTTGTTAAATTCAACAGCACTTAATCATCACACTTCTACAGAACCTGCAGAGAGGAAGGGGGAAGGGTTCTTACATATTTACCAACTTCTCTTCCTAGGGATTATAAAAGAAAGGGATTTCATTTACAGTATTTAGTTCAGCAATAAAGAAAAAAAACCAAGTGCACTTGAGCCCATGCATACTGTATGAGAATGTTAACAGTACAATATGATCATCATTAAGTAGCATGATAAAAGGCTACATTGCTTTAATAGTCCATGAGAAAAAATGATCTATATAGAGGCTTCAGTCAATTTAACTAGGTCCTCTGAGAGACTTCTATCTTCTCTTAGAACGCTTTCATAAAAGGTCTATGTTCTTCCCTCACATAAAAGGATCATTTGTTCCCATTAAGACACAAATTACTATAAGGATCGTTGATCAATAGCTGTATCTTACCCTGCGTTTAGCTTTCATAAAAAAATGGGACTCTGTAGGATTACTTTCTATTCACCCAGATAGCACTGTTCAAACAGTAGGGGACTATGAAAAAGAAAACACAAACGGGCTGTGGCCAAAAAGGATTATTCAGTTGTTACTTTTTTTTTAATTGGACAGAAATTCTTCATTGAAACTAAACAGATGGATGTGGGGCCTTGATGTCAAATTTTTATTAAAACTTCACGCTATGTAAAAAATAAAAAAAATTATTTAAAAAAATATTGTAGATTTATTTCCTTTTTATTTTCATATATACACTGAGATGTGTTCAGGAATTTCCAAGTGTTTGCATATGACTAATGAAATCTTTTACCTGTGAGGAACCAACTAATTCTAACATTCTTCCATGAGGTTTACACACTTACCATGAGGTAAGGAATCTTTCAGTTAAGTAGGACATAGCCTTTTACACCCAAAAAGGTTTCAGATTTTAGTGGGAGTTGTGTGTAAACTGTGTCTTAGTGCAATTTCCTCATCTTCTACCATGATGTCTATCCTCTTCAAAACATGTACCCCCTTCCTTTTACAATTATCAACTTTATATATGTTCAAATATACCAATTGAACATAAATATGATGCCCCTTCTCCACTGAAGTTACATGCAAAATGTATGCCAGGTGCTGTAAGAGCAGAATATGGTCCTTAAAGCTACAGAATAATCAGAATAAAGGGTTTGTTTCTACTGCACCTCTGCCTTTACAAAAACCCCCATTAGATGTAATGTTAGTTTCTTTTTCAAAACATGAAAGGTGATGTAAATGTGGCACACAAGCCACATTACCTCAACTTTTCTCTAATAAATGTACTTTTATGATGGGGCTATAACTATTTCTCCCCTCTCCTATGAACCTGCTATTCCAGAGACTGCTTTTCCTGTTAGCTCAGCTTTTTAACGAGAATGTTAAAAGAGCCCTAAAGAGCCTCAACAGTCATAACGTAGAACAGTTCCACCTGATTCTCACACATTGCACTATCTCCCAGTGCCAAAACATCCTATTTTTTTTTCCACTGTATCACCATAGTTGTGCTTTACGTGAACAGTCTGGCACTTTTCATTGCCGGCAAAACATCGACTCAGGACCGGAAGGAATTGGCGTTCTCATATATTGAGCCAGTATTCTTCTCAATGTTGCATGAAGATGCACCACATCATTTAAGACACACAAACCCTTCTGGTAGTGGTTGAATTACAACTGAAGATGAGAAGATCCACAGGTCTTACAGATGCATTAATAATCTAATATGTGACACTAGAAGACTGGTGCAGAAGTAACAGCATGTGAGTTTGAAGCCCCAGAGAATCTGCCCAAGTAATTAGTCCTGGACAAACATACACCAGCTTAACAGGTTTGAAGTGTCACCTTTTCTGTAAGGAAGGCGCTTGAGTAGAATGTAGTCTCTGCTTATACCTCTGCATCTGCTTTGACCGTGAATGCAGTTTGTTAAAGAGCTCATGGAATTTATTTTGTGGAAACAAGGTTTCTAGGAATCTCTCCAGAAACACATACACCATTCTCTTATTCAGTTGGGTGTGCTGGAACATTTCAAAGACCCGAAGAATTCCTTTCCGTGTAGTCTCAGCGCCTATGATGTGCTTCAGTTCATCTACAAAAATGAAAGTTACATAGAAGTTTAAGCTAAATTCTGCTTCTGTGTTAACAAACTTAAACTGAATAATAAGTCTTTCAAATTACATAGCCTGGAAGTCAAAGTAACAGCACCTCTATTATACACAACATGACTAAACTAAAAGTTCTCTTATAGCAGTAAGGATTTCTGAAAATTACCTCACTTTTACACTATATATTGGGAACCACATTATTTTACATGAAATCATGCTGTATTGGAATATAGGTATTTCATGCGCTAAAATCCTGTAGTGAAACTAAATACAGTTTTAATGTATGTACTAAATACAGAATTACAGTTGCAAAGTCACAGTACCTGTGAAAATGTTCAGTGTCTTAATAATTAAAAACCTTTTTATTTAACAGTTCACATGTCAACACTTCTTTTTAACATTTCAACAATCAACAAGAATACTGCCATTAATTCCAGTAACAATATAAGGTAAGGATTATTAGGCTTCAATCTCAGACTCACTTACCTGGCATTACCTCCAGTAATTTGGTCTTCCCTGCCACTCTTGTTCTCATTCTAATAGCTTTGTCCCTCCGTGGAACAGCCTCCGCTAAAATGCCGTTGGGCCAAAAAGCATCTCTGTAACAAAAGCAAATCTGTCAAAATACATTAGAATTTTATCAAGTGAAAGGCTCTTCTTAATTCCTCAGTTATTTCATAAAATAAATGCAAGAAAGTAATTTGCACACAACCTAAACACACACTGCAAATATTAGAAAAGGGAAAAGGCAAAAAAAGAAATCAAAAGCAAGAAGTACAATACACTCACACTATCAGTAGCTACCATATACTTTTTTAGTACAAGAATTAGATGAAAACAAAATTTAAGAAAACACTACACACGAAAAAACCTTGAAATACCACATACTTGTTACATAAAATATACCTAAGATTTACTTTTACCGAGCAGTCTGTATTGCCACCGAGAGACTCTAGGCTTAGTCTATTCATTGCTTCATTAGTTCTCTGACAGTAGTTAACCTATCAACAAGCTAAAGCTGAGATGAAGTAGTTTCACTGTAGCATAAAGCCCAATGCAGAAGACATGCCTCTGTCTAAAAAGCTATTTTGCCTCAGCAAATGACATTTTCTGAGTAAGAACCACACATTCTTACTTGATTTTATTAAATGACAGAATATCTGTATAGTATGACCCTTTGGCTAATACATTGTCCTACTTTACCACCTCAGCCCAAAAAAAAAAAAAAAAAAAGGCAAAGGGGGTGCCTTTTGCTCAACAACATTACAGAAACCATTAAGACTTCTGGGAAACTGAATGACAGAGCCTTTGATACTTTCAAATTCAGACTTCAGTTCCATTGTATCTGCCCACATGTGAAACATATTAGCTTAGAGATATGGGTTTTTTAGTAATATTTGTTCACCTTTTAAGGCAAGAGGCGCACATGCTTTCATCAAGTCAAACAAGACACTTCATCCAGCAATATGATGAAATTCATAAGTACACCCATACTCTATCTCTTCTAGACTGGTTAACAAAGAACTTTTTAAGGAAGAGGAGAAAAAAAGTATTCTTCTTCCTGTGACAATTACTTTCTCACTTAACACACATATAAAGCAGTGTACGCTCCAACTGGAATTCTGTACAGTAGTAATAATTTCCCCACATAAAAAGAATAGGAAGGATACAAAGAAATGAGACATCAATTGGCAAGTACTGCATATTTAAGATCTATGATAAAAGACATACCTGAAGCGTTTCACTGCATCTGCTACTTGCTCAGGAGATGTCATCCAATCAACATGATCAACTATTTTTCTAAAATCAAAGCAACAAGTCTCTCTCATTTAATTTTTCGAACAGAGAACACATAAATAGTATTTTAAAGAGCAATCTAGGGCAAACAAAGTATAATTTCAGCTTTCTCCAACTCTGTAAGCAGGTTCTATAAAACTGCACATTAGGAAGGCAAACACTGATTCTCAATATAAAAATCTAAGCTCACTAATCACTCCTAAAGCTGAAGCCTTTTCCTTTTTGAGTAAATGTATGATGACTAAGCAGGCTGTAAATTTGATGTTGCATCTCCCATCAGCATTAGATAAATATTCTGCTTGTAGAACATTGGTCTCCATGGAGCGTGCTTCAAGTTCTGCTTCGGTAAGCAATGAACCTACTTAAAATCTCAAATTACCATACTTATGTATGCAGTTACTTCATACTCTTTAACAGGACATACAGATTGATCATAAACTTCAACCTTCATTCATCAACACATACACACAGCTCAATATCCAAATATGTTTACAGATATTCCACATCTGGGTATCACCATAATCTCAGGATTATTCTCCTAAACATAATTTGAATCTAAGAAACAGGAAAACACAATTTTGCTGCAGAATGCCATTAAACACCAAGAATCTGCTAGGACAAGGTATGACTGCCGAACCAGAGGAAGCTGTGAGTGTCTGGAATAGTTCCAAATGCAGAAGCAAAGTAGTTCTGCACACATCTCTGCAATAAGAAAGCAGCAGCCTGTGCACAAACTCAGCTAGTTATACTACAATCTGAAAACAGCAAAAAGTATTCAGAATTGTTCAAAAGGGCAGCATGTTTTTGGAAGCGCAGCTCTCAAGATAACTGTCACCTGGCCACGAGGAATTATTTGAAAAAGACGCAGTTCCACTACTATTACACGGCTGCATCACTACTAGTACCACAAGAATGGTCTATATGTGATGATGAAAACATCACAAATATACTTGCAAAGGGTATAAAGTAATGATACAGTGAGGAATGTCCTGAAAAAGTAACAGGAAACTACTTCTCACCTGCCAGAAATTTTTTTGATTCATGGTACTAATCCAAAGTGACAATTTAGTGCCACAGAAAAGTAGAAAAGTATTTGTTCTATATTTTTATTTACATTTCAGAAACAAATTATTAGAAGGGAAGGCCTGGAAACAGTAGATTTCAAAGCCAAGTGAAAGAAACATTACTTATTTAGCACTACTAATTTGCTTTGCATTTGCATGAAAAATTACAGAGAACATGGGAGGCAGAACAGACCCATAACATCCTTTCCCTTCCCCTCCTCCATTTTTTAAAGTGAGAGAGAAAAAACTGAGCATAGCAACTCAGTGCACTTTACATAATTTGATAGTGCCAGTATATAATTTGTGGCATCAAAAAATAGTGCAGAAAGTAATAAAATGCATTACTAGCAAAAAGGGTAAGAAGTATTGACATCATCAGTATTGAGTTACACTCACGGAAAAATGAACTCTTGCTAATATGTGAAAGCTCCTTTGGAACTTCTCTGGCATGTAAGAATTACCAGAATTTGTCTTTCAGCAATGTTTTCAGAATGTAAAATCTCCATTTTACAACCACATTTGTACCTGGTTTATTGATCCTCTTCATAGTAGAATGCATGCAGATCTAAATCACAATAATTTAGTAATACCAAAAAGGATTTATAGACACATTCTATATAGTCTCACTTACATGATCACTCTATATAAAGAAAAGCAGTACCTATTAATTGTGTCACCATATGTTGCTCTAATAAGTTGCTGAAGTAGATTTTTTATATTTCTTCTTAACCATTGATTTCTTTCCTTTAAATCAAAGACTTCATCCATAAGAAGGAGCATTACTCGCAGCGGAATATTGTCATCCACCTGACCACCGAGTAAAAGTATAATCAGTAAACTTTTATTGCAGTTCAAGAAAGCCACAGTTTTAGTAGCCAAGGCCCTGGTCAAATGCTTCAGTATAAGCAGAAAATGACAAATACTTTGCTCTGTACTTTACTGTAATATGACATCTTCCCTAAATCTTCTACTAAATCGTTAATAGCAAAGAAAGATTGAAAATTAAAGACAAACTACGCTTGAATCCACTGAATTTTTAAAATAAGACAAAAAGAAACAGTTATTTCACCGAAGTTGAACAAAGTTAATACAACTAAACATGTCCTAAAGAGAAAGATTGTCCCTGACCTCTTCCTTTGGTAGCTCTGCTTCCAGTTGCCTAACACGAAAACTCCAGAAGTTTTTGTCATGTTTTCCTTACGGATGCACTGCATCAATGTCAGAACCTCCTAAGAACAGTGACACTTTACTGCAACAAACTGCCTTTTATTTAGACATCATTTGAATCTGCATGGCTATTAAGTGCTTTTATGCTTGTAGATTAAGAAAAGAAACATCGTTTTATTATTTAATACAAGATGTTACACAGATTGCCTTACAAAAAACAACTTTTATGGAAATCCTAAAACAGAGAATTCAGTAACTACCTAAAAGTTTTTAAAGAAGGATGGCATACACTTGCAGTAACTGTTAACATTTTTTCAAATATTTAAATTTGAGGGGGAGTTTACTGAGTTCTGTAGAATGAAAGCATTAGTTGCTATTAATGTTTCTCTTACAGAAAAAACAGAAGCTTTTCAAGGCCTGCTTATATGCCAAAATACAAGCTTACATGTTGTTAAGTTATTGCATAAAGAGACAGCATTTGGAATTACATTTCCATTGCACATGAGACCACAAATATTTATCTCAAATACAACAAATGAATTCGATTTTTTGACTGATTCAGTGCTTAAATTTCACATTTATTATTAAAACTTTATAGCATATCAAGCTAAAGTTAAAATCTTACTGTATCCTCAGCAAAATTTATTTAAAGACCGAATGCACTTTCTCTTTTTTTTTATTATAAGGATTTTAAAATTCTAAGCATAATATCCAGAATTTTGTTTTGTATTTGAAATACGATATAACTCTACTTGGAAGAGTAGTAGTTTGCACTATATTGTTAATCCTACACTGGAAGAAGTAGCAAGATCTCACAGCTATGTGGATGTTTTTTAGTAGACTACACAAGCACATCTTCATATACAACTGTAAGACAGACAGTGGATTCATAATCCATCTGGAGATTTTATAGATGCATGCCTCACTTTTACAGTACTGCTTCTCCATGTAAAATTCCATTCAAGCTACCATATTTTTTTTCTAATTTAGTGACTAAGTTGTGAATAATGCATCTTAAAAGAGCAGCTGAGAGATAAAAGGTCTTAAAACATTTGAAATCTGCCCTTTAGAAATATTTGGTATGTTAATTTACAATCTATCAAGAACTGTAGCTTCTATTTATTTTACAGATCAATGAAATATTTGCAGAGAAGCTGCTCATATCCTTGCATGATATTATTTTGTTTTGCCCATGCAAAACAGATGGCTCAGGAGTATCAAAGATATTTGTAATTGCAAACGTAGGGATACAGTCTTAGTCTATAGTGAAAAATAATAGGGAAAAAGAAAACCCTGCAGAACTCAAGGCTGTTATCTGAGCAAAAATCCATTTACCAAGCCATCATAGCAGTTATGCACAGGAAGACAAACTGGAATGCTTTGATGTGACCAAAAAACACAAAACATGAAGGGCAGAACAGGTGCAGATTTATGACCATAGCAAATTGCATATAATCACTAGTAATCTTATGGCCTTTCTGTCCTGCTTAGAGATAAAAGGTTTTTTCCAATTGTTTTCACATATATGATCAGTGTTTCAATCAAAACAATAGCAAAATACCAGAGCTTATGAAACATCAAGAGCTTAAACTTCACTTTCAAGTTTCTAATATTACTACTTCACACATTTTAGGTAGCCACATACTAAGGTCTATTATTTAGGAACACATTCTTAAGTTTTTCTACAACAACACAGCAAACACTACTTCTGATCCATTAAACAACTGCTAAGGTCACATCAGAAACCAGAAACCACAAAGTGGCAACTGAAATGATGCTAACAGTCTGGTACTATACTAGCTTTGAACAGACAGAAATTGGAGGAAGAAGAGGGAAAAAAAACCCCACCAAACAAACCCTAACCCACAAAACACAGAAGCAGTAGCATGTAGACTCTAGTAATTCCACTGTTGTGCAAGCCATTGTTGTGCTAACAAAGATGTTAATTTTAGAAGGAAGCATACAGGTTTCTTTTTAAAAGTTAAGAACTGTTTGTAAGTGCCTGGTGTAACATTAGAAAATGATAAACACCTAGTTTAGCAGAGAATAAGCAACTTCATTCATTTGGTTTTAGAGCAGTCAGCTTTGAAAGTACAAATATCAGACTCACATTGTCATCAATTGGTGCTGCAACACGGCAGTGGTCAGGATCTGAATAGGTTTTCTGGATCAAAGGAGGCACCTACAACGAAAAAATGCTAATGTTTATGAAGGAAAAAATACTTTAGAATACAAATAAATCAGATCAATTTTTATAGTCTATTTGGTTATGAAAATAAAAAGCAAACATTTGGTCAAAAGTCAGTTGCATACTACTGCAGATAAATCAGAATCATAGAATCATTAAGGTTGGAAAAGACCTCAAGGATCATCAAGTCCAACCGTCAACCCACACCACCTAACTCACTAAACCATGTCCCTAAGCACCACATCTACACGTTTCTTGTACACCTCCAGGGACGGTGACTCCACCACTTCCCTGGGCAGCCTGCCCCAATGCCTGATCACTCTAGTCTTTTCATCTTCCAACAATTAAGGCTTGTAGGTATTCTCCTATAGCTATCAAAGTTGCCAACACCTTTAAGACAATCCATGTATATTTTCTCCAGTGCATAATGCTTCAGTTGAAAAGCACCTAGAAATTCATATGGGACTGATATTTCTTCTGATACTTCCTCTCGATCTTAAGTCCTGCCTAGTCATGGACTTCCCAGTGAGTTTAACTGCAGACATATTGCTAGTCACACACCAGGGAAGTTACGAGCAATGAAAAAGTTCAGAGACAGTCATTTTATCTCACAATTCATAAAAAAATAACAAACAAAAAATGACCCCGCCACCACAGATCCATTATTCCCTTTCATGGCTTAAGCGTTAACTCATTTTGGTTGCTGTTCTACATCTGCCACAAATAACTGTTCTGGTAACACAAAAAGGAACAATCCCTGATCACAAACCTTACAGCTAGACACACAAAGAGGAGGGCAAGGAAAAGGAAGGTAAGATGGGCATGTTAGAAATATTACTACTTTCATAGGACTTCTAGATAGCATGCCATGTTACCATTCCCCACCTCTAAGGTATTACATTTTAGGAATATAAGGAAAGATGGCAGGAAAGACACAAAGAAAATTTAATTAAAAATAGAATTCAGCAAGGAATAAGCAGAAAAGAGGCTACCTTCTTATTCTAAATTTCAAAATACATGTGGTTTTTTTTTGTTTTCTTTTTTTTTTTTCTAATGAAAGCAGCAGATGCAGCAAACTAGCTTTATGAGAATGGTTGGTAAAAAAATTGGAAAAATCAGAGACTCATATTCTTCTCACGTGGATGCACTGAATTAAGTGAAGAAGCATCACTGTAAAAGTCTGTAGACGTCATCTTAAAATGTGTTACTTAGCAGCAAAGAGAACTCCATGTTTGTACTATAATGACTGCTGAAACTAAGGGTAGGTATAAAACAGATTGTTTCCTGTCTAATGACTCCTCATTACAGTATACAACATAAATTTAAGTGAGTCGATAGCTAATCTCCTGTTACTTTACTAGTATGTATTAACTACCAAATACTTTCTTACCTTGAAAAATGATTGCTTTATGTCTTGTCCCAATCTCTCTGACATTTTACCCATGTTGTCTGACATTTTAGTCATTCCCTCTGCCAGGCTGTCAGGAAGAGACTTGACTGCATTTGATACATTTCTCATAGAGTTACGCAGTGGGTTTACAAATGTGTCCATCTGAAGGGGAAGATGTTTAACCAGAATTGTATAATCTATGAGGACACCGCTATATTAAACATGCTATGAGAAGTATCACACTCTTCCAGAGAACAATAATACAAAGAACACCACAAACTGCTTAACTTCATTACAGAATGCAGAAAGTTTTAGCTTCACTTTAATTTACATTTCTCATTCCTTACAGCCCCACTGTAGCTATTTATATCTTTCAACAGATCTTTTTCCTGAGTCATTTCCATTTCCCATCCCTCAGCTTTTCTTAGCTTGAATTTATTTTCCTTTTCTTCTCCATTCAATGTCATTTCTCCCTTCCAATCTTCCTGGTTCCAGATGTTTCACTTCTGCTTTCAACTCTTCACCTTTGAAACTTGCCTCTTTTAAACAGCACTGGAGTAATATGCTTTAATATCATAGCAAGTAAAATTAAAAACATAAAGTAGTTCCATAGAAACTGTTACTTTTTTTTTTTTTTGGTATATACTCTAAATTCAGTCCAAACAGAGGCAAAATACTAGTGTGATGCCCTTAAAAAAAGTTAAGTTTATGAAGAACCTGCTAAGCTGGAAATCAAATCTTAGTCATTACACAAACCTTGACAATTATTTAATGGTTTCACTGATAAGTATTTAAGGAATACAGGTAGAACAACAACTTGAAATGACAATACCGTTGCAGATGTTTTTTATATCAAAATCACTAAAACTTCAGAAAGAGCTATATTTGCAAAGCAGATGCCCACACAAACTGGTCAACTGAACAAAGAATCGCTTATCTGAAGAGAGTTCTGATGGCTTAACATAAAGGATGCACAGCTCAGAGCTCCAAATTTGACCAACGACTGAATAGTTACAATGGCTAAATACATAACAGCTGCTTTTGAAGGGAAATGTATTTCATCTTTTGGGCTGAAGAGTGGAGAGCACGGTAACAGCAGCAAAAACAGAGTAAAGAACTGAAAAAGAAATTAGAAGGAACGAGACTATGAAAAAAACCCACAGATGTCTGACAGAAAGTAACTTTTAACAACCACTTTTAAAGCAGTCTTTGTGCAATGCACCACATCTGATTTGAAAATTTTATTTCCTTGTCATACAAATAAATTTACCTGGTACGGAAGCTGTAAATTTTTGGTTCCATATACCCTCAGATACTTTGCCACTCACAAAGTATTAAAGAAACTCACTTGCAAGTTGTTTTGAAAGTGCTGTGTAGTTGTTTAACATCAGTTCAACATCCCTGTTAAATGCAATCATTGCACTAATGAATGCTGTAAAGTTCCCTTGACAGTGCAAAACATCCTTACCTTCCGTGCAAAATCCCCCTTCCCTTTGCTGTAGGCTTTATTCTCCAGGAAGTCATACACATAGTGGGCTAAAGCTGGAGAAGCTTTCATCATTTCAGGATTTAACAAGAGCTGAGTAAAATAATTTTTAAAAGCTGCTTTTTAATAAATAATGAAAAAGGCCATACCATTCAATTTAGCAGAAGTTTACCATGCACAAAGACATTACATCTTGCAATGGATTTTCACATTAATTCTCTAAATTTTATTCCAACATTACACTATTCTCAAGATCGAAACAACTTACTTCTTGGTAATTCTCATAATTTGAACTAGTATATTAATTATAGCATCTCACAGAAAAACACACACCTTTATGACCACTCAAACTCCTTCTAAAACTCCAAGAAAAAAAAAAACAAACCTGTGACTGAAAAAAATGTTACTATTAAAAATGGGGCACATATGTCACACAAAGGAAAAAATACTAACACTCTAAACAGAACAATCAGATTTCACGATGCTCTATACTTCTTCATTATTTGTTGTTAACATGTCCATTGAGTCGCTCAAGATATTTAATGCTAAATAACCAGAAAGTCCCTATGAAGTAAGACAACTGAATTCCTTTAGTTGGCCTGATACAGGCCTTATCTGAATGGAGAAGCTGTGTGGTTTGCTACACTGCTGAAGTGGGTGCCATGTCAATCCTTATGCAACAGCACAAGAGAAAGTAACCACAATCACGAGTGTAACAGAACAAAGTTAATGGCATAGAGCTCAAAACCCAACACAGCTGGAACCTTACCAGCTCAGAGGAGTTGTGAAAGTACTGGCTCGTTCTTTCAAAATCAAAACAGGAAAAAAACCCTCAAACTTATCAGATAATATGAAATTTTATGGTATACTGTTTAGGATTGTATACCACCTACAACATCGCTATTTATATATATTTAAAAAAAAAAAAAAAAGCATGCTAACAAATTTTCTATCTCAGAAAAAAGAATTCCAAGCAAGAACACAATCAAAAAAAGTGTAACAGCTTACCTGCAAATATGCATTTAAATCTTTTTTCCTCTTTTCCAAAAATTCTCTGTCCATGTTGTTGAATGTCTTTTTGCCAGGAAGTTTCAGTATATTTGCAAGGTTTTCAAACTACAAAAAAGAGATTTTTTAATTCTGTTTTCAAGAGAGTTTCAAATCACCATATAAGCTTAGAAATTATAGGGGTCATTAAATTAACCCATTCTTATCTCCCATATAACACCTGACAAATAACTTCTGCTTCAAGCCCAGAAGTCAGATTCCTTGAAAAAGTCAAAATTAAAGCTAGGTCATCAAGAAGAAGTGCATGAAAATTCTCAGGAGACTGTCAAGGGCAAAATTTAATTTCTGAAAACACACACACATGATATTCACTTTTGAAATACAGACTAGTACAGTGTGCAAAAGGTTTAAGCTCAAGTTTTATCATTATTATTTGGGCAGAAGTTAGTAAGGTTATGATACTCCATCAAGAGAACTTGCAAATCTTCCTAAAACATCTTCCCTTTCCTCTCTTCTACTCCTCTCCATTACTAAGGAAATGATCAAGCTTTTATCCCTGGAGTGGACGGCAGCACCCAGTTTACACATAGGTGATCATAGCATGCTTGATATGCCATCACTTGTGCCTTTTCTCCAGGGAATGACAGTGATTGGCACTGGTTGACATCTATTCCGCTGTTCTGGTTTTACAGAAAGAATGGGTGTTCCAGGGAAGCAGCAGGAAAAGAAGAGGCCTTAAGACTTCAATACACAAAAATAAAAAAGTGCTACAATGCACAAAAATAAAAAAGTGACAAGAATAAAACTCGAAGAATCAGGATTATCCACATATAGAATCCCGATTTCCTGTAAATAAAAAATAATATTTCTAAGGCAGTAAAGAGAGAAAAGTATAGTATCTAGGCTTTAGGAAACAACCTGAAAAAAGGTTTTATCCTTTTCTCTCTCTAGAGAAGACCACAAAATTACAGATTTAATGAGATTGATTCAGCTCCGTCTCTGTAAGGTGTCTTTTTGCAAAAACATCATTAAACTTTGAAAGGTTAAAAAGCTCAGATCATGATTATGGACTGCAGGAAGAACCAAAAGAGAACTCTTTCCAGCTTTACAAATCCCATTCCCTTGCAAATACGTCATGATGGAAAATAACTGAACAGAAGATGGTCTAGTTTTTATTTGAATACTTGCATCTAAACAGAACCAATGTAAGCAAAGAACAGCCTCTATTTTAAGTAAGGATATCTACTTCAAATGATATTTATTACACTACTGAATAAAGAAACTGTTGTGAATCTGTTCAATACTTTAAGAAAAAAAGCTCAGATAGTAGACACAGCTAACTTCAATTCCATTTTGTATCAAGTACCTATATTCTCTGAAAAACAAACAATTATCCCTGCCCTTCCTATCAATTTTAAACAAGATTCTAAACTTTACCCTTAACATGTCAATAAAAATGTCTCAGACAAGCACACAAGAGGGGTTCTCAGTGTATCAGTGACACTGATAGGCCTGTGCCCATAAACTCGGTAGGAATGTCTATTTAATTCTCAAAACAAAGCAAAATTGTTGGGAGTTTCTGAGATGCTACAATGAAGCACAGGAATTTCTTTATTTTTCACAATCTTAGTGCTCTAGGAGAACATTTAAATTTTCTGTAAATTCAAAGAAATAAGATTTAGCAATAAGGAATGTCTGAGCTTTCATATTTTGAAAAATTTTTGCGCTTCTGCCATTATTTTTTAGTCATTTTGGTAGGTCAGATTTAAATGACTGCCCCATATCTGCAGAACATTAACTTGCTATAATATCCAGGAACCTGTACCTGTTTCAACAGATCAAAAATTCTTCAAATCAGTGAATTAATTAAAAAAAAAAAAAAACAGTTTGGAGAAGAGTACAAAAATTGGTATTCCATATTTACTGATAACACACTAAGATAATCAGAAATTCAAAGGAAAGTCAGACTATCTATAATTAATACAAATATTCAACACAATGTTTGCTTTTTTAATAAAGCCTTTTGCATTTTTACTACTGTTGTAACTTTACAATGCTAACCTACTTGCACAGAATTTATTCTCTATGCCTCTCTATTAATAACAGAGTAAAGGGATATAATCCAACACTTCTGCCTAGTTCAAAGATTACACAGTCAAAATTGACTTCTCCAAAGGCTTGGTTTAAAAGCATTTCACCCTCCTCTTTTAAAGGCACTGTGTTTTCAACACTTTTTCATGTCAGCAGGTTCTGCTTTGTACCAGTTGGTGAATTACAAGTCTGTATTTTTTCTTCTTTCATTTTAGGAGGGTTAAGAGTCTGAGAACACAAGTAGAGCATTAAAAGGCAGATTATCTAGCAGTACACTGAACTGCCAACAGCAGTCCCTTTTGAGACCCCACCGATCCTCAACATTTCACTTAAAACCTAAATACCTATTTCCAAGTTCAGTTTTTATTTCTTAATCTCTGTGACAAATATGGCAAGGGAAATACACCACTGTTTGAGACCAATAGCACTTCCATACAAACATTTTAAAGTAAAATTAAGCAAAGGGAGATGTGGGGCGAAAAGCTTCCTAAGTTAAATTTCTTTTTGTTAGAGCAATTACATAGCCATCAGGTACTAAACTATATAAACACGCACCTGTAAACTGCCCAGTACAAATCATGTATGATATAAATGGTAAAAAAAAGTACACTTTAATGGAAAATAATGTACTGCTTTAACACCACATCTGAAGTCACTTTGAGAAAGCCAATACTCACGCCATACCATCATGCAAAAAAAAGCACCTTTCAAAGAAACCTTAAAAGAATTTTATGAGATTAATTACCTGCTCAGTGATCCTCATGTGAAAGTCATGGAAGTCACTATAGCGTCGATACGTCTTCCATGTCTCTTCACTGTTTGGATTTCGTCGATGAACTGTGATAGCGTACAGTGCATATGTCTTGCCGTGGTCATTACACACTCCTGCCACAGCATATGGGTCATAGTCAGCATAGACTAGTAGTTTAAAAACAAAAACAAGAAAGGAACAAACAGAAAGAAGGAAGACGACACAAACGTGAAGTGAAGAAATGTCTGGAATGACAGACTTGAGAGACAAAAATGGACATGCAAGCAGAAGAGTAAGCCATCCCTTTATCCAAAACACTGTACAAGTGATACCCTCCAGAAACTTATTATGTGAACTTAAAGAGAGCTTAAGCAGCCTTAAAGTTAGACAAGTTTCACTGACATGCTAAACAAAGAATAGAAAAGGTTTAAAGTTTAAGAATAGATCTTTTAAAAAATTATTTTAACCTAAAGAACTCAAGATAGGAGTGTAAGACAACTGTGAAACCAGAAGAAATTCCAGTATGCAAAGTACTTTAATTATATTACAAAAGTTCATGCATTAAAAAATCTGTAAATACAAGACAGTGACAGCAAGCCCTAAGTATTCGGTTTTGTTATTAACATCATCAGTTTGCTATTAACCATAATTAAAAAATTACTCCTCCGCTATTTACATCAACAGAAACCCCACGTACAGAGTACATAGACATACATGTCTGTGTACATATATATATGTACTCTGTTCGTGTACAAACACACCCACGCACACATTTTATGGAGAAGTCAATTTATAAATGGAAAGAATACAGATCTCTATCTTAAGTAGAAGCAAACATCTTTTTGTTCTCCATTGAATATTTCAGTTCTCCTGGACACTCATCTATCAAGAATTCTCCCAGTACAGAGGTTTTTTTTCAAAAACTTTCATTTAATCGACAGAATAACCTAGAATCAATATTCTTTATACTGCACACTGCTTAAATTGGTAACATGTTGTATCTCTAAGGACTGAATCATTACCCAGTAACCACAATTTTCCAGTGGCTAGATAAAAACACTTTTTAATCGAGTTCTGTGAATTTTCAAGGCACCCACACTCCATAAAATACATTTTTCCTGAGAAATCATCAGCTCCAGCCTCTGTTATACTTCCAACCTTGACTTCTCTTAAGTATAACGTCAAGGTTTAAGCAGACAGGGAGCACCTCTAGGATAGGTGCAGCTGCTGACAAGGTAAGATTTACTCACTAGCAAGGTGCACCACGGTCACAGAGAATCTTTTCTTTGCCATCTACCCTCTTAGAAGAAGAATGTTGAGTGCTGAACCCCAAGAGAAAAGAGTGGGAAGTCAGGATGCTGCCAAAAGACCGCTCAGAGAACGGAGGCAGGAAACCCCAGCCCCATGGATGCTGAGCAAGTCCTAACCTCTAAACTCATGTTGACCACTCTGCTGTGCAGCCATCCCGCTTGCAGGAGCACTGCTAAGTTGCACCTTTAGAAGTACCACTTCAGAACAGGAGTGACAGAAAAAGAAAGAAGTTGTCTCCGCCAGCTCTTATGTCAGATCCTCTTAATCAGCGTTTATTTTGCAACACAAGACAAGGTGAATCATCCAAGATTATGGAGAAGATCTTGTATGCACTCCACAAGCACAGTAAAGTGTAGTAATCAGCAGAGGAAAGAAGCCTGCACAGACGCAAGATGCACCTACTGCCTGTAGCATCCAGAAAGCAGGGACTTGTATTTCTTGTTTAAAGACGAAGTGAAGAAGACGTCCAGCTTAATCCTACTTTACAATATGAACCTGTACAAATCCCCTGATTCAACTGGATTATGAGGGATTTAAAGAGTCAAGCTAATAGTTATCAATACACGCTGCCATCAAGATTATACATCTAACATAATTTGTGTGGTTCTAAGTTTACCTTCTTTCTTAGATCAAAACAATGACACTTCTAATTTTAATTCAGAAAAAAAAGTATCACATGACATTTTATTAAAAAAGCAAAATTGTGATTCTTAAATTTTAAATTATTTTTTCCCCTTCTTTTTTCCCCTCCTCTGAGAACTGACTACACTAGCCTTGGACAGTACCATGCTCTCACACTGGGTTGGAGTAATGGAGTTTAATTAAAATGTCAAGTAGTTGAATTCTTGCTCACAGGCCATGTGTCTGCTATCTAAGTGCAGAGATTTAAGAGTCAATTGCATAGTAAAATTTACCAAAAATAAAAAAGTTCTAGAGATCAATTCACAATTTAATTACCCAGTGCAATCTCATCTAGAATGTTTGCAAACAATATCTGAGAAGTTTTTGTTATTTACTATCATGCAATAAAACTTTTTCATTTATTACTAGGCAAATTTTTTCAAAAGATAACCAAAAATGCCACCACCGTAAAGACTGCCATCACTACATTAAATTAAACTAAGTCATTAAGGAAGTATAAAAGACATTAAAGAGAAGTAAACAGTCAAGAATTAAAATTGTGTGACTAGAAAAAAAAGAGATGGCTTTCAGAATTTGTTCTTTAAATAATTGTTAAAATAAATGCTACTCACTATTATGTTTAATGAATGATTCTCCAGAGACAGGAAAAATAATACCATAAACAACAAAAATTAAACCACATTTTAAGTATAGATATCTAGACTACAATCACGTGCCCCTTCTGTAAGGATTTCCATTACAAGGATTTAATTGGAAATATGAATTCAAATACTTTATGAGGGTAAAAAAAATTAAAGTATTAGGATTTCAAGGGCCTGCAATATTAAAAAAGTCAAAATAAATCAAGGAGAATAAGTAAGTAGCCATAATAACAGATTCACTTACCAGTATCTGAGATGTATGCATGGAGTTGCACTATCTCATCAGAAGGGACATTTGAAAGGTCATCTAAGGACTGTAGGGTGGGGAGAGAGGGGAGAAGGAAGAAATGGGCAAGAGAGAATAAGATCACAGACGCACCTCATTTGAGAGATGCTTTTTTATTCATCTATTTCATTTTCAAACTCTCAGTTCACTACACTAATAGAATAGCTTAATACACTGTAACTAAAGCCTTTCTTTTTATAGAGTGTATGGCCCTTCATTTCCCCTATTAGATTCACACAGTTTCGTGATCACTCTTAACATATTTGCCACTTTCATTTGATATCTCAACTCCAACAGAAGTACAGCTACAAATAGTCTTTTACTGAGCACTAAAACAATACAAAAAAACCTAACTGTGGACATACAGATGCTGCACAGCATCTTTTGGTTTTATCTTTATACCATTCTGTGTTCTTTCAACTGACTTAAAGCACTACACAAAAGTTACAGTGCAGTAAAACTTGAATAGTTTCTCTTCTGTATGTAAAAATCAGCACACACTTTTCTCAAAAGTTTTCACTTGTAAAAAATGAACAGGTACATGCTCAGCTGGCTAATGCCCTGTCTCCCTATTCTGTAACTATTGGGAGCAAAATAAAGCCCAACAGGTCTTTTATAAAGCTTTGTTATTATTAAAAATTAATACATCTGATTACTAAGGTTTAACACAATAAAGCTCTACAAGATGGTTGGTTGAAAAACTTGGATGCACAATGGAAAGAAGTAGGAGGACGGGCCACCACGTGATCCTAATCTTAAATTCCCAGGTTAAAAAAAAAAAAAAAAAAAAAAGATGGAGGCACTTAAGTAGAATTCATAGGCACTGGGATCCCAGCTACTTTATATATATTTACCATAAAACTCTAAAATTCTTAAAAGATACACATGCATCTGTCAGCTGTCTTTCATAATTTAACCAAGCCAGTTTAATAGTGAGTTGCCACAAAAGGTTACCTAGAATAGGACCTACTGGGTAGCAGTGTCATACCTGTTTCAAACTAAAACCTCAATATATGCCCATCAAGTTTCTAACCTCCTCTGTTTCCTTAAACATAAGCCAATCTTACATGATTACAATCAAAAGATAGGTTGGACTTGAAACATGAATTATTTAAAGACTTTGCTCATCTTCATCTGAATCTCTATCATCTCCACGATACCCAAACATAATACTCCACTCTTTCTTTCTCACACTCTCTAGAGGGAACAACTCTTCTCTGCCTCAATCATCTCAATGATTCTCTACCTAAATATCCACTACGGAAGGCGAGGGAAATAACATTTCTCTTATAAAGTCTAGATACTGAATAAATGGCATCGTTACAGAGGTCTGAACACACTATGCTTTAACTTGTACTGCAGTAAGGAGCCTCCTAAATATCTTATGATACAGCTCCTGAAATTGATGAACAGCAGGAA